ATCCCAGCAGGACCGCAGACTAAAGCAGAGCAAGGGAAGGTTCTGATGAGAGAATGGCGGTGACCAGGAGGGTGGGGCAGGTGGGGCGGGTGGGAAGGACCCAGTCGGAGTTTTTGCTTTTGCTCCACTTCAGGGGCTCCCTGGGTGCTGATGGGCCATACTTGGGCATTGGGTGGTGAACGTGGCCACTGAGATAATAGCTGGTCATCTGAAGCTTAGGCCGGTGGGAAGTCAATGACTTTCTGTGTCTTCGAGGATCAAGGGCCCTCTCGGTGAGTGCCCCAGGGACCCAGAGCCCCTCACTCAGGGGTCCCTGCTCAGCAATTTTTTTGCCCAGCCAGGCCTGAGGTTCTACGGATGAAGGACTGCTTGGGCCCAACACTACCCCAGTTTTCTGGGTCACCCTGACACCTTTAGGGTGCACTGGTCAGTATTGGTCACTGGTTAGTGACCACATGGAACCCCATGGGAATTAAACCGGGGTCGGCTGCATGCAAGGCAGTTACAGCAGCCTCTGTCTGGCCTCTCCAGCCCCCCTGATACAATTAAAATGTTTTTGAAAGTCCACGGAACTCCAGCTTCTCTTTCAGTACAAAGGAAGTCAAGGTCAGGGTCTGCCCTAAAACCAAATTAAAATGGAAGAAGATAGTTCAGCCCCCAAATCAAAAGGTTCAGTCCTGGCCATGGAAGACGTGCGGGGCTATATCGTTGGGTTAAGGTCGGAGTGTGAGGCTGCCGGATCAAACCTGCACCTGGGGACAGTGGCCAGCCCTGAGCGGCCACCAGGAATGTCTGTTCCGCAGACTCACTGTAGGGAGAGAAGAGCTGGAGTCTGTCGGGCACAGGGCAGGCTCGGTGTCTAGTGGCCCCAGAGAAGGATTTGTGAAATACCGACTTCTCAGAGCTGGAAGGACCTGCCTGCTCCCCAGGCCCCGAGATCAGCTCCTAGTGGCTTTGTCTTCTCCACAGACATGTGGGAGTAGAATGCTGGCTTGGCTTGTAGAAAGCATGTAAACATTTACAGGAACGCTGATTGCTCAATTTTAATTGAGCATCTTAAATACGCCAGAAGCCAGTGAGCAGGCTCTGAGCTGCTTTGAAAATGCAACTGTTGGGGTTGGAGCAATAGCACAGTGGGGAGGGTGTTTGCCTTGCACGCAGCCAACCTGGGTTCGATTCCCAACATTCCACAGGGTTCCCCGAGCACCGCCAGGAGTAATTCCTGAGTGCAGAGCCAGGAGGAACCCCTGTGCATCACCGGGTGTGACCCAAAAAGCAAAAAAAATAAGAAGAAAGAAAATGCCACTGTTTTTCTCCTGCTTCTCACAGACTGGACTGGCTCTCTGGCCCTGCAAGGTCTGCTCTCAGCACCCTACGTCAGGGACAGCTGTGAGCCTAGCCAGGGCTGCACCTTCTTGCAGGGCTGTGATACTCCCGGCAGCAAACTTCTGGGTTAGAATCTGTCGTTTCTCGTCAAGCGGCCTGCTGGGCAGCAGGGCAGAGTGACGGTGAATGGCGGTGTTCCGGTGACCTGGGGAGGCCTGGAGAGGCCCGGCTGGCAGCCTGTTATGTAAGCGTCCGCCTGCCTCTAATTGGTGCCGGGCTGCCGCCCCCACGCGCCGACACCGGCAGGAGGGCGGTTGGCTGCGAGGTAATTACCTTCCCGAGCCCCAAGGCCTGCCGCGGCCGGGCTGCGTGTGTGCGGGAGGAGGCACCCGGGAATGTGCCCGCACACACCCGCCACACCCAACAGGCCTGTCCCAGAGCCAGGCTGCGGGGAGCAACCCACCCACCCCCATCCACGCGCCCACGAACCAGGGCCGAGGCCAGGGGCAGGGACAGAAGATTGGTCTGCCCTGAGACAAAGGTGCTGCCAGTGTGGCTCTTGTCCCTGGGGGCGAGGGGGTTGATGTACACGTATATGTAAACATGCATGTGTGAGGCGTGCCAGCACGCATGAACAGGTGTGTACACATGTGTAAATGCACAGTGCATTATGTGTAGGTATCATGTGCACACATGAGTCACATGTATCGTGTGAGTGCCCATGTGGGAGGTGCCCACACACATGCACATGTGTAGTGTGTGCACGGTATTGCACATGCGTGTGCCACTGTATTATAGGTCTGTGTGCGTGCATATGTCATGTATTTCTGTGCTGCATACACATGTAGGTGGTGTGTCCATTCATGTATCATGTGTAGGTGGTGATGCACATATGTGCCATGCATGAGTGCTGTGATAAACATGTATGGAGGGTGCTTGCTACACGCATGTGTAGGTGGTGAGTGCACTGTGCACGCATACATGTGTCATGTGTGAGCTGTGCTGCATGTGTTGGTGGCATGGGCACTGAATTGCATGTATGGGTGACGCGTGTGCTTTTGCACACGTGTCATGTGTCCTTGCTTCACACGTGCACTGGTGGTGTGTGCTGTGTTGCATACATGTGTAGGTGGTGTGTGTGTTGTGTTGCATGCATGTGTAGGTGGTGTGTGCGCGTGTTTCATGAGTGCTCACCTGCACACGTGTGCAGGTGGTGTGAGTGTACTGTGTACGCATGTGTGCTATATTGTAGATGTGTAGGTGGCGTGAGTGCACTGTGTGAGCATGTGTGCTACATTTCACAGTTGTGTAGGTGTTGTGTGCGCGTGTGTGTTGCATGTTGCTTGCTGTGCTCTGTGCATACGTGTGTGTGTGTGTTACCGTCACCTCCTGCTGCCTGCCCTGTGCTCAGGAGTTGAACGGAAGGAAATGAATTTTCAGAGCCACACGGTGTGGTGTGTCAGTGCAGGGACTCAGCCGTGAAGCCACGCGGGACTGAGCCTGCCACGGGGCTTCTCCACCCCTACACTGGGGAGAGGCAGATGGAGCCGCCATCACCTGCCCTGGCCCCCATGACTCCTGGTCCTTCCTGCCAGCTGCTCTGCGGGGCTCATGGCAGACGCCCTGGGCTGCACTGCACCAGGGAGGGACGGGGGCTGCTGGGGCCTCGGGGCCTCAGACGGGTGGGCTGGGGGTGGGTCTTGCCCTGGCTTCTTATGCTGAGATGTCTGGGCGCGTCTTGGGGAAGGCGATCCTTCTCGTTTCACTGTTTCTGGGATCCTCTGGGGAATCACGGCCACCCACACCCGCATCTAGGCAGCTTCACCTGGTGAGTAAAGTGTCTGTAACGTCACAGGCCACTTACCGGAGACCTGGATTTCCAAGTGACTCATCCCCAAGCCTGGCTTTTTCACCAGGCCTCTACCAAAGGAACTAAATGTGCCCAATGCCTGAGCTCTCTGGCCTTCTATTATTTTTTGTGCCACACCCGGCATTGCTCAGGGCTTATTCCTGGCTCTGTGCTCAGGGATCACTCCTGGTGGGCTTGGGGGACCATCTGGGATGTCCAGAATTGAACTCGGATGGAGAGCGTGCATGGTAAGCACCTTACGGGCTACTGGACTCGCTACCGTGTAGCTGGCTCGCTGACCTCTATGGCGCGGGCCCTCTGGCCTCTGCTTAGGGAGTTTGCAGGGAGCGAAATCAAATTTCCCAAACGTAGGCTGAGCTGTCAAAAATTCTACCTGTATCAATTTAAAAAATACCAACCAAGAACTTGGTGTGTGTGTGTGTGTGTGTGTGTGTGTGTGTGTGTGTGTGTGTGTGTGAAGCAAGGTAGTGTTTATTAATGAGACTTGCTTAAGAAAGAGGAGAAGTGTATACCCCAGGGAGAACCTCGGTGTGGACAGCTAGCCCCGGCAACTTTTCCCATCAGAAAAGCCATGCCTAACTATCAGAGAAGTTTGCAGCACTGCAGGAAAACACCAGATAATGCAGACAAAGGCCACTCACTCCCAGATAACAAACCTTGTCTACAGACATAAGAATAATTTTTTTTCCTGCTTTAGGTACACACTGTCTGTTTTGTATATGACCAGGTGGTTGTTGCTTTTTTTGTTTTTGGCTAGTTGAGATAATGTGAACATTTTTCTCCCCTTCAATTTCTTTCACATCATCTAGACATACGTGAATACCCACATGAGCGCAATGCTTTCTTCGGCCATGAGCTCTATTTGTAGTGGATTCGGCTTGTCTGACTTTCTGCATCTTCCTACGTTCGAATAATAGAGTTACTCTCCTGTGCCTTATGCTTTCCTGCTTAGTGATAAAGCAGTATCGGTTTGTAGTTATCAGTTATTAAAGAGCAGTGAACGGTCTGGGTGAACCCCCACCTCTCACCTCTCAAAAAGAAAAAAAAAAAGAAAAGAAAAGGACCAAATTTTCAGTTCTCTGTTACAGTAGCTGAAGGAAAAAGTAGGAATCTGATTTCTCCCAGCTCTGATTGCCAAGTCGGGGTGTTTATCTCCCGAAACGCTGAGAGGGTGGGCCCTGTTTCCCGTTGGAGTCGATTCAACCACGCAGGGAAACCACTGTTGACTCGAGTTGGCCCAACCGAAGACATTGTTTCCACCAGACCAGAAACGCACATATGTCAGACACACATGGGCGCAGCCAGGCCCGGCCCGGCCCACCCCCGCCCTGGACGCTGGCACGGGCCATCTGGATCCACCCAGTGTACTCTTTCTGTGTCACTGATTCCCACCTACGGGAGGGAAGAGGCAGACCGCTTCATTGCTCAAATATTCCAAATCACTCCCAAGATACGGACGTGGGCGCCAACACAGACACCTTTTCTCTGGCCAAGTCTTTCGTGGTGCTGGTGACTTCTCCATATTCCTTTTAAGGACAATGAAGACGACTCCGTATGCCCCGTTGGCCCCGTGCCAACCCTGTTCATAGAACCGAGCACCGAGGAGCAGCTCAGCGCCGCCTCGGGGGTCTGGACGAATGCCTGTCCTCCGGGAGCAATTATTAATTTTTTTTTTGGGGGGTGGTCTAAAAATGCACTTTCTAGGCCAATGAGAGATGCGGCTCCTGCGAGAGGCACGCCCTCATTCTGTCCTCGTGTTCCATTCCGTGTGGCGAGAGAAAGAGGCAGGGAAAGGACGACTTACTTTCATAGTAAACTGGAGACATGTCCGCTCGTCCACTTGGTAGGAGACGCAGAGCATAAACAGGCCGAGGTAGGCGACCAGGCACACCTGCAGGAGAGCACACGGAGGTCACCGGGCTGGGGCACACTCAGGCGACACCAAGGGCCCACCCGGCACCAGCAGCAGCCCCTGCTCAGGGACAGCGTTGCTCTGAGTCTTCCTCACCGCCTGCTCTCAGCTTAGGGAACAGAGCTTTAAAAATCATTGGTTTCCCTGTGACCATCGATTTCCATTAAGTCCTTTACATGCACCCGACACTTCCCGAGGTCTTCAGGGCATAGGTGGCCAATGAAATGCCCCTAATTTCAGTAGGTGCCCAGCCAGTCTGGACTAAGATGAGCAGGGCCCAACTAAGACCCCGCGTGATATGTCACCTGGGACTCAGAAGCACAGAGAGAGGAAGAAACAGCGCTGAACTGGGCAACTCAAAAAGACTTTTCTGTAAACAGGAGGGATAGTCCAGCAGGTAGGGAGCTGGCCTTGCACACGACGGACCCGTTTTTGGTCCCTGGCATCCCCATCGGGTCCTCTGAGCACCACCAGGAGTGATTCCTGAGCACTGCGCAGAGTAACCCCTGAGCATCACCAGGTGTGGCCCCCAAACTAAAACCAAAACAAAGACTTTGCTACAGATGGAGAGGGAGTTGGGAACGGGAGACACCACCCCCCCCACCCGGGGATACTCATTCCTGCCGTGGTCACTCCTCAGCACCTGCTCCCAACCACCACAGAGCTCTCACAGGGCAGGGGCTGTCATCAACGAGGACACAGCACCGAGCTGATCGTGGAGCAGTCACGCACCTGGGGACCCGGGTGAAGCTGTCCAAGAAGGCCGCACCCAGAGTGCAACCAGAACCGCATCTCTGCGCCCCACCTTGGAACAACCGAGCACGAAGAAGAGGCAAAGAGCCGATCTGGAAACGGGGCTGGGTGTGGATTGTGGGAGGCTCATTTCAGGAAGATGAGCGGTGCTGGGTGGATGCAGGAGGGACTCAGCGTGTGCTCTCCCTGATCTCAACAAGACTGGGGGTGTCAAGGGGGGCCTCAGACTGAGGCAGGCCAAGTCCCAAGCACAGGCAGAAAGACAAGTTCCAGAAGAAGCAGGTTCAGTCCCCCTGAGTGTTGGGTGACTGGACAGGCCCCTGGAAGGGAGAAACGGAGTGAGCTCTGATTCGGGAGCCAGGGGTCAGCCCTGGGAAGAGAAAGATGTGGTGGGAAGCGGGCAGGCAGTGGGGAGGCCCCTCGGACAGGAAAAACACCACCCTAGTCCCTCGGTCCAGCTGGATTCTCCTTTGTAAGCACTGGAAGACTTTTTTTGGCTTTTGGGGTCACACCCGGCGATGCTCAGGGGTTCCTCCTGACTCTGCACTCAGGAATCCCTCCTGGCAGTGCTCGGGGGACCCTATGGGGTGCTGGGAATCGAACCCGGGTTTGCTGTGTGCCAGGCAAATGCCCTACTCTCTGTGCTATCGTTTCAGCCCCCTGGAAGATTTTTTTTTTAATTAATCATTTTTCCCATGCACTGCAAGTTTTCCAACTGTGACTGGGAGTTTCTCATTCGCGCTGCCTCTTGGAAACCCGAACGCATCGCCGAGTCCTCCCGCGGGATGGAAAATGCACCGCATCGATCCTGGCAAGCACAGTTTCCCCGAGAGACAGACTCAGGGCGGGATGGAGCAGGTCACCCCACCAGCAGCTCTCTCACCCCACCTCCCAGCCAGCCACACGCAGGTCCACCCAAAGCACAGCCACAGGAGGGGCCGCCTGCCTCCAGAACAGACCGTCTCTGGGCGTTCCCTCCGCCAGGGAGGACTGCGTGACCCCAGAGCAGTGAGTGGCGTGTTTTGGCGCCAAATCTGCAAGCTCAGCTCAGACTGGAAAGATCTGGGGAGAAATGGGGCGGGGAGGGTGTGGCCAGGAGGTGGCCAGGAGGTGGCCAGGAGCCCTGGGCGGTGGGGAACGGACCCTACACTGAGGTTTCCCAGTCCGGGTGGGGAAGACACTCTCTGCGGAAACTCAAGCGTTCCCTCCTGCCCAGTCTGAGAGAGCTGACCCAGGGGGAGAAAAAAATTTAAGAATCTCGGCTCTCATTCCCAGGCTTTCCCACATCCGTCTGGGGACGGGGGAACCCCAGACACACGCCCATCTCCCAGGCTCCAGGGCTGCACCCACTGGGGCCTGGGAGGGTTGCTGGGATGGGGCCCTGGGCCCCCCATGCCGTGTGCCATGCGCGGGAGGGCAAGCTTCCCACCCCAACTGAGGGCTCCTGGGTCGGTAGGAAAAGGGTCTGGGGCGTTCCAGCTGCCCAGCCAAGAGAAGCAGCAAGCCCACCAGACCTTGCAGAGCATAGCAAGGGGGTCCGGGGAGGGGGGAAGGGCTGTGGGTGCCCTGTCCAGGAGCTCCAAGGGCTGGCCTGGGGGACAGTCAGGGTCACCGCACAAAGGCCGGAGCAGGGGGCATGGGGTGGGAGCCTCCGGGAACACGTGACCCTTCAACACAGGCCCAGGAGGCAGAGGTGCGAGTGAGAGTCACGCTGGGTCCTAGAGGGAAGGAGGCTGCCCTGGTTCCCCACCAGCATCCGGGCGTGTTTCTGGGCTTCGGCCTCAGGAGAAGACTCATGACAGAATGACCTTTCTTAGACGTGGGACTCAGAGCTACACAGCAGGAGCGGGCTCAGGCGGGCCCAAGCTCCAGGCCCGCATCTCTAGAGCCATCTTGGGATGGGTAGGCTTAGTCCCCGCCCTGGGGGACGCCCAGTGCCCCTTGTCCACACCCACTCCCACTGGCATATGAAGGCCTGGCGGGACACCAGGCTGCTGAGTCCTCCCAGTTCACAGCTCCTGGATGCTCCAAATTTCCCAGTACCGACAGCCCAGTAGGAGCACAGCCAGTTAGATGGGGACGTTGCGTGGAAACCCGCTGAGCTCAGGAGCAGAAACCAACACAGAAGGCTCAGCTAGCACCAAATGGCTCAGTAAACCTCAGACAAGGACGTTAGTAACAGCACTGTGAGGTCTGTGTTGTAAGAAGCAATTACTTTGCACCTGCCTGGGGGGCAGGCGAGGGGGTGGGGGTTGGAGGGGTCAGAGAGAAGTCAGGGATGTGGGTGGAGGGAAGGTCACACTGAAGGGGTTGATGCTGGAACATGGGATGTCTGAAACAACTGTATTCTGAACAGCTTTATAATCACAGTGAAGAAAAAGAAAGGAAGAAAGAAAGAAAGAAAGAAAGAAAGAAAGAAAGAAAGAAAGAGAGAGAGAGAAAGAAAGAGAGAGAGAGAGAGAAAGAAAGAAAGAAAGAAAGAAAGAAAGAAAGAAAGAAAGAAAGAGAAAAGGAAGTTAACTGGCTACACATCTGGAATCACAGAGGGCCAAAGGCAGCAAATGGGAAAAACTGATTCACACAACTGATCAACAGAGAGAGAGAGAGAGAGAGAGAGAGAGAGAGAGAGAGAGAGAGAATAGGGGAGGGTTGGAGGTGCGGGGTGGGGTGAATTGGAAGCGAGGGCCTGGGCCCTTGGGGAGGGGGTGTGGCGTTGGAATTAGTGAGACCATCATACTATAAATCATGCAACCTCCATCAATAAAAAAAATCAAGAAAATAAAACAAAGAGATAAGAAAAGGAGAGGAAAGTCCACGTGCTGCCTGAAGCCCTTCTGCCTGCAGAGGGGACACATTCTCTCTCTGGCCGTGGACAGAGGTGGGACTCTGCGCGTGGGGTGCATCCCTGACTGAGGGGCCCAGGCCACACTCCCTCCTGGGCGCTGCTCTGACACCTGCGTCTCACAGGCCTGTCACCAGTCAGAGGCAGGGTCCGAGGGACGACATCGAGGGCCGTCTGTGGTGCTTTCCGCTTCCCCTGGGCCCGGCTAGACACTGCCCCTTAAACTCCGTGAGAATGAGCCTTCTTGGGCCTTACTTCTCCCTGGGCCGTTCACGTTGACATTCTGGTTTGCGGCATTCACACCACGTGAATTGTTTGTTTCCTTCACATTTGGCTGTTGACATGAAGGTACCGGCAGAGGAATAAAGGCATGCGGGTCCCGGGGCTGAGATCTCCAAGCCTGCTCGGATCGGGGCTGAGCATCCTCCACCCAGATCTCCGAATTCCAGTAGGCAGGGGTCACACCCACCAACTGGCCCCCTGGTGCCGTGTAATCCCATCAGCGGCCAAGACCCAGAGACTATAAAACCCAGCATCTTACTATCTCATTCTTACTTTGGACAACCTGGCAGGCTACCGAATGTAGCCTGCCCACAAGGCAGAGTCTGGCAAACTCCCCGTGGTATACCCAATATGCCAAATACCAGTATCAATGATGGGTCTCATTCTCCTAACCCTGAAAGAGCCTTGAGTATGGCACTTTTTAAAATCTCAAGGCTGGGGCTGGAGTGATAGCACAGCGGGGAGTGCGTTTGCCTTGCATGCGGCCGACCCGGGTTCGATTCCCAGCATCCCATATGGTCCCCTGAGCACCGCCAGGAGTAATTCCTGAGTGAAGAGCCAGGAGTAACACCAGGGCTGGGATGAAGGAGACGTTACTGGGGCCTGCTCGAGGCAATCGACGAACAACAGGATGATCGTGATTGTGAAAGCTTTCCGACAGGGCTCCGTGGGGTGGAGCGGGGAGGCCCCTGCCCTGCCAAACGCCTTCCAAGGCTTTTTCCAACTTTGCATGCTTCCCCGCCTCCCGCTTTCAATCCTGAGCCTGAAATGTGAGTGTCCACGCACTGGCAGGTCACCCGCGGGCACCTCTGTATCTGAAGAGCTATCGGCGGGTCCATCCAGCGGCCACAGAAACGCTTCTTGGGATTGCACAACCCACTTCTCTGTGAGACCCTCTCTTCCGGGCCTGGAGAGACAGCTCGGAGTCCTGGAACCCCGGGCTCAAAACCCCCAGGGACTTCCAGCAGTGGCTCCAAGACTCAAACCTCCCCAAACCAAAGTCAACCAGAAGGCCAACAAAACAAGAGGCAGCGAGCAGAGGCAGGCACATAACTCTGGGTAGTTCTGAGGAGAATCTGGACAGATGTCATCTGTTTACTGG